TCGGCCTGACTATCAGAGCTGACTACTGAAAACTTCCCCATCCAAAAGGCAGTACCTGCTCCTATTTATAGTTGGGAGAGTCCATGCTTTCGTGGGTAAATTACCATAACAAGATCGAATATAAATAATGTAAATAATAACTCCCCATTCCAGAAATTCTCATAGAACCTATCTACTTCTATTGTGGAGAAAAATAAACATAAAAATTAAATCACATCTTCCCTCTTTTATCCATCTTCCAATGTATACTCTCTCTCTCTCTCTCTCTCTCTCTCTCTCTCTCTCTCTCTCTCTGATATAATTATCAGAAAAAAAAGATCAGTATTTATAAGCGAAATTTGAGAAGTCATCTATTCCAATGTGTTGAGCGTGCACCAGAACTTTCCCGTAATTATCTAATTCTAGCAATAGCAGTAAAATGGCTGCTCGTTCTGTTGAAGGAGAACTTAGAAGGAAACACAGAATAAACTTCTACTCCTGTTCCAAAGACTGGGGGGGAATGTGAAGCGGGCGATAGGTGACTGAAGAATTAACCTGAATTCATTTTCATATAGAAAATATATATGGTAGTACGTAATATTCCGACACATTTTCGTTTGTTTCTAACTAAATTTTCCTCTTCCTTAATACTTTGTTTAGTTTTTCTTAATACCTTGTTTAGTTTTTTGAAGGCATCTTCGGATTGTAGAGTTACATTTAAAACACTTTCCACATATTTAAACGTCTGTACTTGTTCCATGTTAACATTTTCAATTCGTAGCTTGCATCTCAGGCGTTTTCTCTGTGTGCCTGCCACACAGTATGTCTTCTTACAATTGATAGTTAGTCCTTTATTCTTGCTTTCCTTTACAGCTTTATCTAGGAACACCTTCAATTTTCTTTCTGTGCCGTACAGCAACACGGTGTCATCAGTATATCTTATGTTTTTAAAATTGTTCCTATTGATATTAAATCCTGGTAGGACTTTTAGTTCACTTAGGACTGCATCGGTGTATCGATTGAATAAATCCGGTGAAAATGTTCTTAATCCTGTTATAACATCTCAGTGTTAGACACTTTCCTATCGCCGTAACGTAGCTTCCCTGTGCATTTTTTTTCCCATAAACCCTTTCATGGTAATTATTCCCACGACTTTTCCTCTTTCGTGCCATCATTTTCCAGTTGAAATAACTAGATGTAACCGTAAGTTCTATGCTAACAGTTTCTTCAATCACACTTCTTGCTTGTGGAACGCTCTTACGGCTTCTTTCTTTTTCTTTTTCACTTCTTTTTTACTTTTTCTTTTTTACTTTCTTTTGTTTCTTTTCCTTTCTTTTTTATTTTTTTAATTTCTTTCTTTACTTTCTTTTTTCTTTATTCCCTTTGTTCTTTGTTTTGAAATCGAGAAGCTGAAAAATGGCGAAATATAGTGTGGGGGAGGCTATATATGTTGAATGAACATTCATCTTCAAATATTTAAATGCAAAAATCAATCGTTATCTGTCTTCTTAATTCGTGTTCTTTTATTGTTCTCTGTCTTTAGTAATGTTTTTTTTTTCTCACATCATTTCACACTCAGTAATCGCTTGTGTCTTAGTGGCTTTATTGCCTTAGTTGAGGGTTAAATTATTTTTCTTAAAAAATAAATAAAGGATACGCATATTGTTTTAAATTTCTTTTAGTTTTTCTTTACTAACTAAATTCCTTTTCTAGCTGGTTTGCTCCCAATATCTGGGGAATGTTTTAACAAAGAAGGTGATGCTGTATAACTAATGATATTAGAAAAGGAGTGCTTATTATGAACTGCTACTGCAAGATCAAGCGCTGAATTCAGGCAATGAAAAGATTAAAAGCAGCCATCGGTGAAAAGAATCCGGAAGTGGCCAATCGTCAAGATGTTCTCTTACATCAGGACAGCGTGAAACCTCACCTCTCTTTGCCGACCTGACTGAAATTTGGACAGTTCGTCTGGAATTCCCTACTACAGTATAACCCGGATATAAGAGAGTTGTCGGGACCGGAGAAGAAGTCTCTTATATCCGGGTTTCTCTTATATCCGGGTTTGGTCTATTATATATACATTAACACAGGCTCTAATTTGGGACCAGAGAAAATCTCTCTTATATCCAGGTTTCTCTTATATCCGGGTCTCTTATATCCGGGTTACACCGTATACCTGATATACGACTTATCCCTATAATCATCCTGGGTATGACGATAAACTACATCCGGCAGCAAGGACTCTGATCCTCATGGTTTGAGGAGCGTGAAACCCCCTGTTAATTACAGTTGTTTCCAAGTCCACCCTGACCCGGGATCCTAGCACCTGTTAAAGCCCCAGCTATGAGAAAAATAATGAACCCCCTAAACTTGGGTTAAAATACCGTCAATGAATAAATATACATTTCCATAATAAAAAAATGCTAGCAATACATTTTAATGGTAAAATGTGCTAGCAATACGTTTTTGAAAAGAAAATTACCAAAGTTTCGAAGAAAATTAAATGACCCATAAGAGGTTGATATACCATTAAACAGACATACAAAAGTATTCCTATAAAATTCTCTTAATGGGAAGAAATTCATTTTTCGGGAAATATGTTTAAAAAAAAAACACTTAAACAAGTTCATCGTCCCGACAGATGCCATGTTCTTGGAGAATGAAATCGAGAAGCTGAAAAATGGCGAAATATAGTGGGGGGGAGGCTATTTATGTTGAATGAATCGATGTTCTAATATCAAAATATTGTCTTTCGAAATCACGGAATAAAAAAAAAATAATAATAATAAACATTTATTTTGACCCCATATTATTTTGATTGTGTAATTTTTTTTATTTTTTACTTGTTTGGTTTTCTTCATTTGTTTGATTTATTCACTTGGTTTTTATTTAAATTTTATTTTATTTTTGTTTATTTTATTTATTTTTTTACTTTCTGTTTTTCATTTTTACTTACTTTTTTTCTTTTTTACTTTCTTTTTTCTTTTTTATTTTTTCTTTTTTACTTTTTCTTTTTTAATTTCTTTTTAGTTTCTTTTTTCTTTTTTTCTTATTTACTTTCTTTTTTTACATTTCTATTTTTACTCTTTTTTCTTTTCTACTTGTTTTCTGCTTTACTTTTTCTTTTTACTTTCTTCTTCTTTTTTACTTTTTACTTTCTTTTCCCTTTTTTACTTTCTTTTTCTTTTTCACTTTCCTTGATCATCGTACGTTCTTTTTTTTCTTTCGTTTTTTCTTTTTTTTACTTTATTTTTTATTTTTTGACTTTTCTTTTTTTCTTACTTTTTCTTTTTTACTTCCCTTTTCTTTTTTACTTTCTGTTATCGTTTTGACTTCCTTTTTTCTTTTTTTTACTTTCCTTTTTACTTTTTTATTTTTTTTATTTTTACTTTTTTCACTTTTACTTTTTCTTTTTAATTTCTTTTTCTTTCTTTCCTTTCTTTTTCTTTTTTACTTTCTTATTTTACTTTCTTTTTCACGTCTTTTTTCTTTTTTACTTTTTCTTTTTACTTTCTTTTTTATTTTTTAATTCATTTTTTATTTTTTTACTTTCTTTTTTCTTTATTCTTTTTGATTTTTGTTTTTCTGCTTTTTTGCTTTTTTGCTTATATATTTTTATTTTTATTTCCTTTTTGCTTTTCGTTGTTATTTGTTTGATTTGTTTTGCTTTTTGTGTGTGTGTTTTTTTTGTTGAGATGGCTTCTCCTAAGTTATTATTGTTGCTTTTTCTTTGATTCATTCGCGCTGACTTTTGTGTCTTCGTCTTGCGTTTTGGTCATTTGCTTTTCGCTTTTAATATTTTGTTTTTGGGTTATTTTTTGTCTTTTTTGACTTTCATTTCTTTCTTAGTAATTTAGACTGCTTTCGTAATAATAATAATAATAATAATAATAATAATAATTCTCGAAAATGTGGCATATGGGAACATCAACAATCGTTGTTATAGATGGAGCCCTAGGACTGGTTGGAAAAGATTGCAGTAGACTAATTGAAGGGATTCCTGGAAGTCCATGCCTCAAGGAGATACAAAAAATTGTTCTGACAAGTACAGCCCACACTTTACGAAGGGCTTTATCTATGTAGTTTCTTCTTTTTTTTTTTTTTTTTGTCAGTGGAAAGTGTCATGACGCCATTTCTAACCTTAGGTCCCTGGACGGGACCCGGAAAGAAATGTAAACGCCAGAAATCGAAGAAAATAAAATAAAATAAAATAATAATAAAATTGTTGTTATTATTATTTTTATTTTCCCTAATTATTTTTCATTATTAGTAGATAATAATGATTATTTGTGACTAGTGAAATAGTATTAAATCATTTTATCAATAGAAATATTATCTTGAATTTTATTATTAAGATGATGAAGCACTATCAGCCATTATTAATTTTTGACTAGTATTTCTTTCATCTTAATTTTCAGCACAACTACTCAGTCGGTCAAGCTGTGACCGTCAGTAAAGAGGGAAGGCCGGATATAAAGTATAAGCTTTATGGTGGACTCGAACTCGAATCTGTTTTGCGGCAGGTAGATTATATTAACGCTAGAAATACGTGAGGGATTGGTACAAAAAGACTGAATATAATCTTCCCCCACCAACCCCCAATTGTTTGGTACGGACTTATTTAATAGTTTGTTTTTATTCGTCGTATTAGTAATAATATTGTCTGGAACATTCTGAATGAGGCTCTGGTTAGTTGAGATGAAGCCGCTGAATTTAAAACGAAAGAAATACTAACCAAAAATTGAAAATGGTAGCTTAGTTCGATTTTAAATGCATAGAGTTATTGGAAAGAAAGAAAGAAAGAAAGAAAGAAAGAAAGAAAGAAAGAAAGAAAGAATCTAAATATTTCAACAAGTATAGAGATAAACAGAAAAGAGTATAATAGCAATAGGTGTGATTAAGAAAGAAAGAAAGAAAAAGAAAGAAAGAAAGAAAGAAAGAAAGAAAGAAAGAAAGTCTATAAATGAAAAAAAAGAAAAGAATGAACGAATGATGGAATGAATATAACAAATAGGTTGAGAATAGAGTTAATCATAAGAAGGAAAGAATAATGGGGGGACAAACAAAATTGTAAAGAGAAAAGAAACAAACAAACAAAGAAAAAATTGGAAAAAGGATTGAATGGAATGAATAAAAAACAAAAGGAAAAATAATTTATACAAATATTACGACGAAAATATTACAGGCAAGAATTATTGGGTGAGAAAGAAAGAAAGAAAGAAAGAAAGAAAGAAAGAAAGAAAGAAAGAAAGAAAGAAAGAAAGAAAAAAAAAGAAAGAAAGAAAGAATAGGAACAGAGGAGAAAGAAAGAAAGAAAGAAAATATAGGAACAGAGGAGAAAGAAAGAAAGAAAGAAAGAAAGAAAGAAAGAAAAGAAGTGAATGGAATAACAAAAAAGAGGAAGGAAAATAGTGCGACGACAAAAAGGCAAGAATTTTTGGTGGGGAAAGAAAGAAAGAAAGAAAGAAAGAAAGAAAGAAAGAAAGAAAGAAAGAAAGAATCGATCCATCAAAGTCGAAAAAGATCAAGAATAAGGCAAAAATAAGTTTGTTAATCACCTCGTAGTGCGGAAGGGGGGACGGAGATTTCTACAGAAAATGCTGAGAATTCCATGGACAAAACGCTTGAGCAACAAAGAAAAATTTAAGAAAAATGGAAGCAAAAAGTCATTTTCTACTCAGAATCTGAAGGAAATATGTGAAATTTCTTGAACGTATAATGAGTAAGGAGGACTCGGAGAATCTGACGGTCACAGGAAAAAGTTGGGTCTTGTTTGAATGGATGACGGAAAGGTCATTTGGAAGGATGACAAAGAGAAATACCTTGCTAAGAGTTACAAAGAATAGGAAGTTGTGGAGAACCGTGATCGCCCACGCCCTGAAGGGACATGACGCACAGAAGTTACTAAGAACTTTGTAGAGAAATCGCAAGTGACCAAAAAAAAAATCCCCTTTTCACTCTGCCCGTATCCCCTTAAAAAAATGTCGATTTGCAAGCTGAAGATGCAAATTATAACGGGACAAATCAACGGCAACTTCAACACCTTTTCTTTTTTTTTTCTTTTTTTTTTCTCTCACCCCGCATGAACGGTCAGCCTTCTCGAACGGCTTACCGAAAATCACCGGACAGTATCTAAGATGTTGGGTCGGGTTGGGGGAGCGGCTTGCACGAGGCTAGTAGAGGCGGGGGGAGGGAGTTTCCGGGCTGGCCATCCTTGTCGTCTGGGAATTGAATAGATTAGAATTTCATTTTCCACTCGAATTCAGCAGAACCCTTTGATCGGGACCGAAAGTCGAAAAGGGGATTTCTTGTGCAGTAAGCAGACGATCTCTCTAGTGATCAGAGACCCGGAACAATGTCGAACGAAAAGAGCAGTGGCCTGTGAAAACAGGCAACGAAGAAAGTTTCGAAAGCGTGACGGCTGAAGGCGAGCCCGGGGTGTTGGGGCGGGGAATGGGGAGGTCGCTGACCGTGAGGTAAAGAAAATGAGGTGTTGTGCTTTTTTTTGTTGGCTGACGGGTAGTTTAGTAGATACAGAGCCTCTTAGGAATAGGGTGGAATGGCGTGGCTGCTGTAATCGATTTTGATTGTGGAGAAGATGGGGTCGAAAGCGACGGGACTGACAGCGAAGTGAAACAAAAAGTTTTGCCAAATGTCAATTGAAAATGGACATTGCTAGATCTTTCTTTTGGTCAGCGAAAATTTGTATATTTTATTTACTTATATGCGTGATTTATTGGTTGTCTTTTTATTACTGGGTCGAGTTTCGTCTTAGATAGATAGATAGATAGATAGATAGATAGATAGATAGATAGATAGATAGATAAAGAATAGACCGTGATAGATAGATAGATAGATAGATAGATAGATAGATAGATAGATAGATAGATAGATAGATAGATAGATAGAAACAGGCAAAAATAAATAGATAAAAAGAGAAGGGGGAGAGGTGTGTTGATGGCATATGTATACGTATATACATATATATACAGAATTGTGAAATAGAACTTATTATCTATACATGGGGAGAGTGTGTGTGTCTAAATGGGTGGATAGGGGTGCATGTGTGTGAGTGTGAGTGTGTGTGTGAGTGTGTGTGTGAGTGTGTGTGTGAGTGTGTGTGTGCTAATAGTTTTATTCTTTTATACTTTCTTATTGTTTTATTTTTGGTATGGTATTGTTGTTTCCAGCATTCAGCTTAGGATTCACGTGTTCGATCAGGAAGCGAAGAAAGAAAGAAAGAAAGAAAGAAAGAAAGAAAGAAAGAAAGAAAGAAAGAAAGAAAGAACGATTGACAAACAAAAACAAAGAAGGAAAGAAAGAAAATCAACTTAGAGAGAAAGAAAGATTAAGAAAGAAGGAAAAAAAAGAATGAATGAAAAACTAATAAGGAGTAAGAAAGACGAATAAGCAAAGATTATTAAATTTTAAAAATTACAAAAATAGTAAAATGAAAAAGAGATTAATAAAAAGGATAAAAAGAAAGAAAAAAGAAATACCTGTAAAAGAAAAAAGAGACTTATAAAAAGAATAAAAGAAAGATTATCAAATAATGGAAAAAAAGATTAACTACAAGAAAGAAAGAAAGAAAGAAAGAAAGAAAGAAAGAAAGTAAGAACAACGATTGCATGAGACAGAAAGGTGTAAAAAAAGGATTATAAATACAAAAAAGAAAACTTGAAAAGAAAGAAAGAAAGAAAGAAAGAAAGAAAGAAAGAAAGAAAGAAAGAAAGAAAGAAAGAAAGACGATTAGTGAGACAGGAAGGTGTAAAAAAGAATTATAAATACAAAAAAAATTGAAAAGCAAGAAAGAAAGAAAGAAAGAAAGAAAGAAAATAAAGAAAATTAGTTTGCTGGTTGGGAAAGGAATAATTTGTCTCGTTGGGAACAAAAAGATCCATAAAAAACTAACAAGCCTGCAAATGGGGAAATAAAAAAAAAGGTTCATGATATACCTATCAGGGTAACCAATGGATACGAATTTTATTATTCAGTTTATTTCTAACTTTTGTCTTTTTATTATTTTTTTCTTCCTTCTCTGGCAAAGATCGTCGATTGTCAGCCGATTAGCTGCTTCAATCAAGAAAAAAGAAAAAAAAAAAAGAAAAAGAAAAGGTGCCATTGCGCAGGCGTGTGGAGTGACACCGGTGTTTATGCAAATGGTGTCCCCGACTAAAGAAAAGGAGAAATCAAATCTTTATTGCTTATTCGCCAAAATCTTATCAACAGTTTTAATGGCCCGTAACGCAAAGTCATTGCCTTTGCTTCTTCCCGTGTCCATTCGACAACGTTCGTTTGTTCCGCTTGACTAAAATAATGGGGTTTCGTTGTACACCTATTTTAGTTCTTTATCTTCTTAAGTGAAAAATTTAACTTTCTATGTTTTTATTCATTTTATTTTATTTTATTTATTTGTATAATTTTTTTTTTTTTTTTTTTGCTTATCTCAAAATCTTAATCTTTACACTTAAAAAGAACAAGGCCTTGCAGGGGGAAGTCTGTCGCTAAAATAAAGAATAATAAATCAGGGCTGCTATAAAAATTAAACAATTTTTTTTTTTCCCAAACGATGAATTAATGGAGTCGTTGGCTACATCTCCCCCGGTAGGTGTGCATCTCCCGCTAAATCTAGTATTCAAGGCCTGGTATTACGTGTGCGCAAAATCATTTCAGAAAAAGAAAGGTTTGGCAACTGTATATTGAGTCGTTTATTTTATTTTGCCTTTTACTTTTAATAATGTTCACTAAGTACAAGGCTCAAGAGAAGGTTATTGAATGAGGTTAGTGAAAGGAACATGAGAATAAGAAATAGGAAATGACGATATGGAGGATAGGTAACAAATAGACCTTAAATTAAAGATGACAAAATTACTGCGTTCGTGGAAACATCAACGTGGGAGTCTGTTCCAGAAAACAGCAGTTCTTAGAAAAATGCTACCTGAATTGTACTTCATCCTTACAATTGGAATACGAAGAGAATGAGGGCGGTTCGACGTGTGAGCGTAACACGGCCGATCTTGGCTGTAAATGAAAGCTCCAGGAACTTTTGCACACACCTAATTAAAATAAAAGGGATTACAATCTTGGTTTTCAAGAAATCAAAACAGCCCCTACCCAATTGAAAAATTGGCTCAACTCAATCTTCCTATATCCAAATACATAACCCTGGATCATAAAAATAACCAGAATTATGCTTGAAAGCTCTCGACCACAAATATTTGGACAATATATACACTCATTAAACCCAAACTTACACACTCTTGTATGTAAACAAGTAAAATTAACTAAAAAGCGAAAAAGATTACAATGTTTACTAGTCTGTTTTAATGAAACATCACGTATATAATACATTAAAAGATTCCCTTTCTCTACCTTTTTTAGGGGTAGAGTCTCTGACTGATGCCAAATTGTGTTTCGATCCCGGCTTGAAGCAATCGGATATCTATCCACACTGATGAGCTGTGATACAGTGAAACAGGCTGTGAATATATATATATATATATATATATATATATATATATATATATATATATATATGTATGTATGTATGTATATATATATATATATATATATATATATATATATATATATATATATGTATAAAGAAATATAGTTTTAAGGTGTGCTATATTTATGGAATAAAGTGCTCAATATCAGAGATAGAGCGTATGTAAATATAAATATAAAAGTGAACATTGAAGTCAACATTCAGAGGCGACAGGCTGTTTAATGCTGGACGCAATCGTCGCCTCTGAGTGTTGACTTAAATGTTCACTTATATATATATATATATATATATATATATATATATATATATATATATATATATATATATATATATATATCATAAAGAAGTAATTATGCAAAGAATTAATTATGTTAATGTGATTAATGTTGAAATTACTTCGCTAACAAGACTTAATGAGACATTAACTTACTATCAATTCCTTGAATAACACGATCCTTATATCTGAGTTGGCAGATGGAAATGATGAGACTGAACCGAGTACTTTCGACAATT